AGGGCATGGAGCATACAGACACGTTTCTCAGAGAGACAATGAGGAGCAGCCACCTAGTTTTGTGCAGACAGCAGTACAGCACTGCTGGGAAGTGGCAGCTGAGAGGTTCTGCCCACAGCAGCACTGGCACGAGGTTGGTGGTGATAGGGTCTCTCATTCTGGGTGCTCCTTTTGCTTCCAGAGGACATAGTGATCAGCTCTGCTGCAGACCCAGTGTTAGTGTAGGTGGCACAGGGATGAGCTGATCCTGTCCCCATTCATGTGTGCACATCGGCCTCCACCTTGCAGCTCGAACCTGTGCTCAAGAGGGAGGAGAATGGGAAAGGTGTCCCGATGCACTGAGAAAAGCTGGGACTGCCTCTCCTGGGGAAGGGTGGAAGGGCTTAGGGTGTAGCACCCGGCCTGAGCCAAGCAGCCCAAGGAAAACCATGGCTGTGGCACCAGGAGAAGGTCCCCATCCCAAAGAGAGCCCGTATCAATAACTGAATATGCAATATACTGAGAAACTTGCATAGGTAATGCAACTTCTGCATCTGTAACATACTTGTTGGAAACATTCTGTAACACAAGTTATGTATAGAATCTGAAGATCTTTTGTGCGATTTGTGCAAAAATGTCTGCTTTCTATCACTGCAACTTGAGAATCAGAGTTTCCTGATTGGTCTGTTGTGGTTTTGTACTTTCTGTTATCGGTATTCCACATCATAGCATCATGTAAAGCAACAGGAGTTAAAGAGTTTACATTCTGGTTCCGTGGACTGCTGTTTCTGGGTACTTGGTTGTCAGAGTGGGAGGGAAGGAGTAGCGTTCCCCAGAGGACTTCTGGGTCTTCAGACTGGTGTCTGAAGAGGGAAGGTGGAGCTGCCTCACAGGTCTCTCAAAGTACAGGGGGACACAATCCCTCTTTTACCTCTGTACCCCAATGCTGGTGAGCCCTTCCCCATTTTCCCATTAGTGGAGTGACTCAGAGTTCACATTCTTCAGCTGTCCCTCCTATAAATATTCATCGTTGTTTCCTTTGTTAATACATACATTGTAACCTGGGTCCAGAGTTTGTCATTTTGCACAACTAGAACTATCTTTCTATCTTGTAAAGTCTATGTCTATTTGTTCTGCACAGCATACCAGATTTACAGGCAGGTGCTAAGCTAGCATGCCTGCCCTGTCATATCCTTGCAAGATAAGTTTGTTTAACCAGATCCTTGTGACCAAAATTATTATTCTCAGCTTTTTCTTTATGCTGTTTTGCAGGGACCCCCTGTCCTTCTTTTGTTCTTCCCAAATTTTATTTTGCAAGGACACTTCATTCTTGGTTTTCCATCAGTAGACACTGTGTCATCTGAAATTTGGAAAGAAAACTCTTTAACTCCAAATGTGATGCTAGAAAATGGCATTCCTTTATTCCTCATGATGCACACTTGATAAGCAAGCACACTCTCTCAGAGTTCAAGTTCTACATTTATACAGTTAAGACATATGTATTCTTTCAAGATGTATGCATTCTTTTTCAAGAGCTCATAGGTATGTGCTGATGTCCCTTTGGGCATGCTTAGTGGTATCAGAGGTGGTTGAGTGCCCACTTACTTCTTCCCATTTTTCAGCATCTGCTTAACAACTGAAGACTTTGACCCACTTCCATCCAGTGTTCCCCACTTTGGGAGATTCCCATTGTTTTTTAGGCCATAGTGAAACACTTTTTAAAAACAACATATGTGGAACCCAAGGAAAATGGCCATGCATGTTTTGAGTCAAAAGATAAAAGTATTCTATTGTGACTCAAGTACTTCTTGTGAGGTAAAATAACCGAGGCGGAAAAGTATTCAATTATGTTCCCAGTGACAAATTATTGAGTGACAAGACTGTTCACCCACTAAATCTGAAATGGGAAGATTTAAAACTATCACTTAGGGATTCCATTTGCGAAACTAATATACTGGTTCTTAAACTAATGTACTAATTCCTTATGCAAACCAACATATATCAATTGTAGCCAAGATGTTCAGCAACTGCCACTTCACCTGCAAGCCCCATTCAGTTTATAAGTAGCAATTCTAGAGTGACACCTTTCATAGTTGGCACCTATACTGCATGTACCAAGAAGCTAACATCAACATGCTTTAGGAATTTTCTGGACCTGCTTTTTTGGCTGTGTGGTATTCCCCTTAGGGTCTAGGAAGCTGGTCACCCATTAGGGCAAGCGTGGCTTTAGAGAATAAATAACTGTTGGGTTATTGGGTTGGACCTGGTTGGGTGGCTTACAGTGAAGTCTCACAATGCTATCTGCTTTATTATTAATCCATACCCAGAGGCTCTCAACCACGTCAACCACTTGCCAACAGCAAGCTCCATGTATTCCAGACCACCATCACATACAGCAACACCATCCTGTCTCACCTGCACTGCCTATCCATCCTGGAGAACCACAGAATCACAGAATATCAGGGTTGGAATGGACTTTGAAAGATCATCTAGTCCAATCCCCCTGCCAGAGGGGGATCAGGCAACACAGGAAAGAGTCCAGGCAGATTTTGAATGTCTCAAGAGAAGGAGACCCCACAACCTCTCCGGACAGCCTGTTTCAGTGTTCTGTCACCTTCACTGTAAAGAAATTTTTAAGCCCAGAGCCATCCAGAACACGTGTGACAGAACATTTCCCACCACACCTTACTTAGGCTGATGTTGTAGCTCCAGGACCAAGCTAATGATTCTCTTAGCTTAAGATTCTCAAGGGATGCAATGATCAGGTGTATGAGGAGCAGAGCAAACCAAGCTTAACTTCCAAGGCTGGTCTCTTCCACATGACGTGTCAGATGAAGGGATTGGCTGGTTGCTCTGTGAAAGCTTGCAAGTGGTATGACCTCTTCTGGTCTCTCCAGGGGGGGGTTTCCCATGAGAAATGACGTGCCAGCCCTCAAAGAAACTTTTCCTGCAGGTGAGACACTTGCAGGACCTACCTTTCATATGGATTAGACAGTGTTTCATGAGTTTGGAGCTCTGCATGAATCTCTACCTGCAGTGCTGACATTTCTCAGGTCCTAAGTGGATCCTCTGGAATTTGATCAGGCTGGAGCTGTGGTTGAAAGTCATCCTGCAGTTGGGTCATGTGTAGCACTTCTTCCATGAGTGCCATCTCCTACGAATGAGGAGTTCTGCACAAAGCTCTTCTTACACTCACCACATCCCTAAGTCTTCTTGACATGGAGTCATTGGTGCAGATATAGGGAGGGTTTCTCCCGACTTCTGGTGACTCACGAAGGTCGAGCCATGACCAAAGCTCCTCTTGTAAGCAGCACAAGCAGAAACATGTTTCTGATCCACCTACCCACAACTTGAGGCGTTCTTGTGGCTGTGCCACATCCTGCCCTGGACTCTCCTTTGCGTTTCCACTCAACATCCCCAGTAGAGCCAAAACAGAGCAATATGCCTAATTACCCCACCAGGGGGAACAGAATTTACTCTGACACCAAACACCAGGAATGGATCTAAGGCCAAGAAGGAAGCTACAGACCATCCAAGGCATAGGAAAACTCCCAGATATGCTGGTTAGGAGAGAAATCAGGGGCTCGCTTCTCCAAATGAATCCAAGTAAGAATGTGAGCACTTCCTCTGAGCACTGGAGCGGGAGTGCTGGACTCAGTGCTATCTCCCAGTTAACACACTGGAACATCTCACACCTTTACAGTGAGCACTCCCTACTGGGGAGTGCACCACATCACCATCAGAGGAAGGAGTATGATCATTGGGGCACTTGCAGGCTCTGTCTCCTGTGACAATGTGCCAGTAGGTAATGCGTCAGGAACTGAATATGAAGCTTCTCAAAAACTCTGTACACTTCAATGGACATCCCTTCAGATTTGTTGTGAGCACAGCAGGCAATGGTGCGCGTGTCATGCTTGAGGCTCATGATTGCCACTCCAGTGCTCAGAGGAGGTGCTCACATTTTCTCTTGGGCTCATTTTGATGAGCCAACTCTTGTTTTGTCCAGATTATCTGGGAGTTTTCCCATGCTTTGGATGGTCTGTAGCTCCCTTCTTGGCCTTAGGTCCATTCTTGATGTTTGTGACCAAAGGATATCCTGTTCCCCCTTCATCACTGTCATGGGAATTATGCACATTACTCTCTGTCAGCTGGAGATGGAATATTGAGTGGTCATAGAAAGATGACAGGGTGGATCAGAAACATGTTTCTGCTTGATCTATGAGAAAATCTTTGGGTACAGCTTTGAACTCATGAAGCACCGGAATGTCTACAGGGGAGAAGACATCCCTGTACCTGAACCAATGATTCCACCTGGCAAGAAGCTTTACATATGCTGCTGATATAGATTGATTTGTTTAGCACTAGGGATGAGTACATTAGTTTAGGAACCAGTATATTAGCTTAGCAAAAGGAATCCATAAGTGGTTGTTTTAAATCTTTCCATTTCAGATTCAGTGGGTGAAGAGTCTTGGTTTTCCTCAATAATTTGTCACTGGGAACATAATTGAATACTTTTATCTTCTGCTTCACAAGATTTTGCCTCACAAGAAGTACTTGAGTCACAATAGAAAAATTTATCTTTTGACTCAAAACATGCATGGCCATTTTCCTTGGGTTTCACATATGTTGTTTTTAAAAAGTGTCTCACTATGGCCTAAAAACCAGTGGGAATCTTCCAAAGTGGGGAAAAGTGAATGAAAGTGAGTCAAAGGTTTTAGTGATGAAGCCGATGGTGAAAAAACGAGAAGTAGCTGGGCACCCCACCATCCTCGATACCACTGAGCATGCCCAAAGGGACATTAGCTCTTATCTGTGAGACCTTGCAAAAGAATGCATATGTATGCCGACGTACTGCATATGCATGTCTTCATTGTTCAAATGTCGAACCGGAACTTTGAGAGGGTGAGCCTGCTTATCAAGTCATCCTGTTGTGAAGAATCGCGGATTGCCACTTTCCAGCACCACCTTGGAGTTAGTTTTCTTCTCAGATTTTGGATGACAATTTTTGGCTACTCTGGTAGGACACCGAGACTGAAATCTTGCGGACTGAAGAACAGGAGGAGACCTCAGCGTGCACACCGAGTGATTCTCAGGGAGCTCTCCCCCGATCTGGCCGCAGGTTTCCTGAAATACGGTAAGGCATTCCTTTGATTGCCTCTGGTAAAGCGTGAAGAAGTCTGATTCACTTTCAGAGAGCAAAGGTAAGGGAATTCCCCAGGAGGTACGTGAGCAGGGAGATGTCCTGAGTGTGCGGCAGGTTCTGTGTTACTCGGAAGTAACATGGTGCTTGAGAGAAAACGGATTCGAGTCCTGTTAGAGGGTGTATTTAAGAGATTCAAGACTCCTCGGGCTCCGCGTCTTACCGAAAGTAACATGGTGAGGGAGTACTTGAGAGATTCAAGACCCCCAGCAGAAACCGAAGCGCTTCATTTTCTGGTAATTATGCTGTGTTACGACTGCCGGCATTGTGATTTTTCTATGTGAACATGGGAATGCATTACTGCAACGGCACCAAGCTTTTTATTTTTTTCTCTCTCCATGGTGTGTGTATGCGGTGGATATGCAGGTTGTGTTAAGTTTTGCCTTTTACTTTCGTAGTTGCAGCAGTGTGTGCGTGTGTGTATTGCGGTGCATGAAAAGAATTTGCATATTCCAGACATGGAGAAGTTGGTTGTGGAAATGGCAGAGAAAACCTGTTGAAAATAGTAATAATTGGTGGATTGGAGAAATGATCAATGTTACTTATGGACCCTGCTGCCTGTGGTCGGTCCCGCGTGCCCGTGCGGCCGCCGCCGCCGCCCCGGAGCGGTCGTGCCGCTCGTAAACGGGTAGAGCTCTCCGCCGCTCCCGTACCGCGACGAGAGCGACCCGTAGGCGCCTCCGCCTGCGGTCCGCGCCGCTCGGAGCCGGGTAGACGGTGCCGGCGCGCCGTGCGGTGCCGTGCCGTGCCGCGCCGCACTGCCTGGCAGCCATCTCTCCACGCCGCCGCGGACCGGCCGAGCCGCTCGGAGTCGGGCAGACGGCGCGCAGTCCGGCCGCAGCCGCGGAGCGACCGGGCGGGTCGGCGCTCGCCGGGGCCGGGCCGCCCTTCCGTCGTACCCGAGCCGCCGCTGCCGCCTCGCGCGACCGAGTCGGTCGGTGCCGGGCGGACCCTGCGGCCTGTGGAAAAACAAGTGAAGTTCCCATCTTGCTGGGGGATGTTGGTTATGGATCTCCCTGGAGGAATCTCCCACGGTGCACAACCGTGCTTTGAGAAAACGCTCTCCATTATCTAGCAAGATGAGGAGGGACAATTGTCCTGCGTAAAGTCTATTCAGATTAAAGTGTATTTTGACTGTTGTGACCAGTTGCAGTTTGCACCGGCCAAGATTGACGAGCACTAGAACAAGAAACTGCCGTGCCACCTCCCCACACGAGGCTCGAATTGCACTCAAAGAGCCTGGGGCAGAGACACTGCAAACTCCTATTGTAAAACGGTTTGTTTCTTGGTGGATGGGGATGAATACAGCGGGAGCGAGAATGTCCTCATCTGCGGAGACCTAGGAAACCCGATATCCCATTATTTGCAGTGGAACTTCCGCTGCTGGAGACGAAACAGAAATTTGGATACTATCGGTTTTTCTGTTTACCAGGGGCACCAAAGCCCTTAATTGATCGAGATTGGTTGGATAAATTGGAGGGAAAAATAAAATTTCAAATGTTTTTTTTTATAGGCAGGAGAGGTGCCTGGAAGGTCAAAGGGAGCTGAGGCAGTTTGTAATGATGAAAGCGTGTGTGGGAGGGGGTGAGGGGGGAGAGGGAAGGAAAAAAAGTCTTGGAAAAGGCATAGACCAAGGAAGGGACAGGAGGAAACACAGGAAACTGAGAAAGCAGAGGAAAGAAAGAGCGATAGAGAAAGGAAAGTAGTGGCATCGACCATAGCGCAGGGAACCGACAAGGATACAGATGGTTGGAAATATATTTTATTTGCAGTTGCAATGGGGGGCGTTCCGCAAGCAGGAGCACCCCTAAGGGCACAATGACAGCTTTTTGCACCTTGTTTCCCCCTTCCGCCCCCTCTCCTGTTTCCCCATTGGCTGGGTACTCAATTAAACATTTGTTAATTCGTGTGTTATCTGGTGTCAGTCAGTAGCCATCCTGTTGTTTCCAAAGCGTCTCAGTGCTCTTTTTGCGTTGATATGGTGATTTTCTCCAAAGTCTTTGTTAAACAAAAGAGCACTGGGGTGCGGGGTGAGGGGGGAGAGGGATGCCAGGCCTCACCCATGCTCTTCAGGCACTTCCTTGGGCAGGCCATGATTTGTTGTCTGATTTGATTCATCTCATGCAGAATATTCTTGCAACGTGTATGACAAAATATACATATATGCACCTATATACTGAGCATGCATTCCAGGGGAAGATTTGTCTAGAGGATAACAGATGACAACTATCAGAGGCCACCCCAAGTATAGTAGAAGGATTCTCAAAAAGAACTATGGCAGAAGAGACCATGACATTAAAAATTCTTACCTAATTCTGATGCAGAAGCAACATTTGATTCCCACACAGAGGTATAACAGAAATGCCAGAACCAAGAAGGGAGAATATAAGGGCAGAGATCTCAGTCCTGAAACCTGATCAATGCAGACAATGTTAGAGATTGGCAACAGGATTGCCCACAGAACAAAACTAACAGCAGAGAATCCAGATCAGAGCTAGATCACTCAAAGGGCATAGATACAATTGCAATAAATATAGAATGGAGGGGACCAAGAGGTGAGACATCAGCCAAACCCCTGGTTACAAGACAACTGGGGAACAAAGGCGTAAAATTTCTTACAGATACAGGTGCAGTGTATTTAGTTACAAATCCACGTGAGGGACAATGAAGCGATCAAACACCATCAATAATTGAAGCCACTGAGACAGCTGAAGTGTGGCTATTCTTCCAACCATTAAAAAAAAAAAAAAAAAAGTTATTGGTTATTTCTGGGCAGGATCACAAAGGACCAAGTGATCGTGGTGGAGGAAGAGGATGTGAAATTAAAGATACAGAAATGTTTGTGGATGGTAGCAGCTCTGGGAGAAATGGCTTAAGAAGGCCAAGTATGCTGTAACAACCAGAGATGAAGTAACAGGCTGGAACTCTGGCACTACCATCTCAGCATAGAAAGCAGAACTCATAGCCTTGTAAGAGCAGTAGACTTAACAAAAAGGAAAAATGTCAGTATTTGGACTTAAAATTTGCACTTGGGGTTGCGCATGCACATAGTGCTACCTGGAAAGAACAGGGAGTCTCTCAGGGAACACCCATAAAACATGGAGAAACAATAATAGAATTGTTAGAAAAGGTGCAATTACCAAAAGTAGCAACTAACAATGCACTGCAATATCAGTACGGGCAACAACCATGCAGATACAGAAGCCAAAGATGCAGTAGAAGTTTTCCTCCAATTATTACCCCAGAGATATAAAGAACTGATTGATGAACCTCCAAAATATCAGAAGATAAGAAGTTAGCTTCCTTGCTAGAAGCTAAGAAAAATGAGTCAGGATGGCGGATACCTTAATCAGGTAATAATTCCCCAAGAAGATGATCATCAGGACATGCATTGGAGATCAGATATGACCACCGACAATCTAAAGACTCAGGTCTTAAGTATACAAATGGGAGGAACTGTGAAAAGCATGGTGTGCAAGTGTGAACTATACCAGAAATATAAACCAGAGTGCAAAAGGAGCACATCCTGGAGTTACAGGGAGGGAAGACAGCCCAGGAGACTCTTAGCAGGTAGACTTTTCTGAACTCCCACAATAAGTACTTAAGACAGGTACTTACTGGTCTTGGTTGATACTTTTTCAAGTTGGTTGGAACCTTATCCCTGTCATACCAACAGAGTAAGGGAAGTAGTAAAGGTTATACTAAGAAAAATTATATCCGGATTTGGGGTACCAATAAGGATATCATCAGAGATAGGTTCACCTTTTGTAGCTGAAATTGTTCAAAACCCAGCAAAAATCATTGGAAAAGCACGAGATTTACAAAATCTATATAGGCTGCTAGTGGAAAGATGGAAACGAATCAAGATCTGAAAACACAGATTAGTAAAATCTATTAAGAAACACACTTGAAGCCACCTGAGGCCCCACCCTCTCACCTTAATACATGTTATGGTAAAACTGCGTGCTCAGTAGACAGTCCTTATGAAATTATGTATAGAAGACTGTTCCAGGTAGTGACAGGCAGTATCAATGTAAACAGTTAGGTGCACTAAAACTAAGAGAATGTTATCTCTTTAGGGAAAGTTCTATCTTTCATCCATAGGTTTATGGCTCAGAAGGCACCGACACCTCCAGAAGTCACATTACATCCATTCCAGCTTGCAGAGGGAAAAGGTGAAGAGCCCTAGCCAGCTCTGCTTTTGCAAGGGTGCATTTAAAGGGATGGAAGGGAATGGAATATTGGGACTGTGACCCAGTAGAGTAAAGGAGGGGATGGTGTTAAGAAGCTCAGAACTCACCTTCTGCTTCTTGAGGGTGATGAGATGGGATGACAGTCTGTGCCTGAGCACCTGCAAGGGGAGAGGACACAGTGGTGACATGGAGAAACATAGGGTGACTTAATGGCCTTGAGGTCTTGGCAAAGGCTGCTCAGGGCAGAGCAAAGCAGAAGAAACTAAAAACAAAACAAAACAAAACCTGAAAGAAATCATGCCATATAAGCGGGAACTTGTGGCCTGGGAGGATATCATCTCACAGCACTGAGTGCAAAGCTCAAGAATGGGAAACAAAGGCCAAGGACTGTGGATTCTTGTCCACCTTAAACAGGATTACTGCACAGAATGGGATGGGAGAGAACCTTGGGAGGGTGATGCAGTTCAGCAAAGCATTGGTGGTGTGAAGCAGTTCAGAGCTCATCTGGCTTTACCCTCCAACCTTTACCTTCCATGCGAATGTAGCTTCACCTACTTGCAGGAAACAGGAGATAGTGGTGGGGTGGAGAAATGCAGGTTTGAAGAACCACCTCTGCAGAGAGGCAAGTGGAAGCATGAGTCTTAGAATCACACAATCACAGTATCTGCAACGTAGGAGAAAAATCTCTAAGTTCAGTCCCTGGGCAACCTGTGCTAGCTATAGATGTCCTTGTTCTTTGCAGGGGAGGTGGACTAGATGACATTTAAAGGTCCTTTCCAACTCAAAACATTTTATGATTCTAGGATTCTAAGATCATCCAGTCCAACCACTGACCCATTAGCACTGTACCCACTAAACTATGTCCCTCAGTGCCACACCTACACACTTCTTGAAAACCTCTGAGAAAGGTGACCCCACCATTCCACAGACAGGCTGTGCTATCCCACTTGTGTCTGCAGCTGTTGAGCACTATCTGCCATAGAACTGCCTCCTGTCCATCCTAAGGAGGAGGATGTGTAGGTGCACTTACAGTCCTCCCTTTCCCCTGAAAGCTTGGCCTGTTTGGACTTCATCCCAGCTAGGAAGATTACCACAGTGTACTCCTACCTGGATATCGCATGGAGAGGAAAGAACTGTTTTTCATCAGCTCCTTATACAGGCGGTATTTGGCAGTGATGTCCCATTTTTCCACCAGTTTGCAGAGCTTCTGCATTCTCTCCTCTTCACTGCTCTGCAAAACGATGCTGTTGTGCTGCTCAGGACTCAGAAAACCTTCCTGGAGAAGTTCCTTTTTGTTGCACAGAACTTCTAGCTATTAGAATCCTTAGTTCCCCCGACTTCTCGCTCACCAGGACTCTCGACAGATCTGCTGCCAATCAGTGTGCAACATAGCAATTATAAACTAGACTCAAACTTCTCCAACAAAACCACGAGACGCACATTCTATCATTGGAGGAAGAAGACAGAGGTGAAGAAGGTGAAGGCAAAGGCATCCCCGGGCACGGAAGGATCACAGGCTTTGCAGCAGCTGCTGTCCAAGCCCCACTTAGTGTGTTCTGCTACTGGATGCTCTGGGTGATATCTCAGTTCCGGTTTCACTTTCAGATCGCACACTGTGTCCTCACCCCTAGTGAGTCAACACCTGCCCTTTGATAGTGCTGGACAGAAGCTGCTGCCTGCAGGAGGCTGATCCCAAATGGGTGTTCCCAGAGCCGGGTGATGCCAAGAAGGGAAAGGAAGTGGAGTGAGCTGTGAGCAGTGGCTTCCATACACGGGTGTGTGAACAAATGACAATCTAGAATCATAGACTGATCTCCAGGTCACAGAATCAGCGTAGACACGTTCCTTCTCAGAACTCTGCAAAATGCGTGTATTGCAGCCTCCTTATTTCTGCAGGGGCTGGGATTAACAATTGAACTGAAGGAGCAGGTGCCAAAGTCATCTGTTTAAAACACCAGAACCCCTGTGTGCTGACTGCAGAGCAAGTGACTGACGTGCATTCTTTACCAGAGAAATAGGAACCAGCTTTGGCAATTTGGAGCATAGCATTTTGTTCAGTTTCTGTTGGTGATCTTAACGCTTTGTTGTCCAACTTGCACACTCAGCTGTCCAGATCCCAGTTTGGTTCAGATTCAGGCTTGTACCCCCTTGCTTATTGAGAAGACTTTGTCAACAGTCCTTAAAGGCCAAATGAAGCTAGTATAGCTAACGCTAAAATCAGAGGATAACAGTAGGGTGGCAAAGTCTTTAGTTACAGCAAATGAAAACAAGGCCAAATGCACCAGCCAAAGATACAACAAGAAAGGAAAAGATCTGCTTACCTCTGAAAGGCCCCAGATATGCAGGAATCTCCAACAAAAAACACCCTCACCTCCACTGCCAGCCCTTAAATGAGGCATCGGAACAGGCGGATCCTGGCTCCACACCTTCCAGTCATGAAGTTCATTGCTTGCACCTGACCTCCTCTGGGTTTGTCCTGCCTTCCCACCAGGTGCTCAATCACTGTTTCAGGCCACCTGTTAGCATTTCCACTGCAGTATGTTTATGTGGGTAATCATCGTTAACTTACTGATACTATATTTCTTTTGACAGGCACAGCCAATGCCTTGCAGGTAGTCTTTGTTCTTCCTTCAGGCCTTACCATCTGTTTGAGAACTGGAGGGAGTGGGAACATGTTTTCCTTTTGTTGCTGGTGCTAGCTATGGAGGGGCCGAAATATTCTTCTTCACTGTTATCTTTTTTACAGACTGACACAGCTGAAGTTTCATCCGCTTTTGTTGTCTTACGGCCCCTAATCTCTTATTTCTCAATTGTAATAGCTGTCAGGAGACGATTCGTGTAAGGATTTGGGAGTTCAGTCTGTCAGTTTCTAACCAGTTAGTGTCCCTAGTTGCCATAGTGCAGATTTTGCCAATTTATAATTGTTGGTTCCAACTACAAAATAAACTTTTAAAGGAGAAGCAGGAACATGTTGAATAATATAAGGTAGATACGCTGTGGTGGTTTCACAGCGACTTGATGAGATTGGAAATGGGTGCACTGTTGCTTGTCTGAGTCCTGGGTGGCTTTTATTCCCAGGCAATGCCCTGTAGATGGGCTGGGCTTTGACAGGAACTGCTGCGCTCCCTCAAACCTCCCCTGCCATTTTTTTTATCCCAGCAGGCTTTTCTAATGTCTGCCTTTCACCTGTGATCATCCCAGCCTCCAGGAGTGCAGAAAATGGCTGCAGTGGATCCATCTCAGGTAGGAGTGTGGGGAAACAGGCAGGAGAGGCTAAGGAACAAGCAGTGTGAATGCAGGGGGTGAGTGGGACGCCCTCCATCAGCATTTGTGTGCTGGGGACAGAGAAGCCGCTGGGACTGGAGTTTCTCTCCTTTGCCAGCTGCTTCCCTGGGCCGTGGCAGTTCCCAGCAAGGAGCTTCTTTGCTTGCAGGAGCCCGTGACCTTTGCAGATGTGGCCGTGTATTTCAGCAGGGAGGAGTGGGTGCTGCTGGACCCTGTGCAGCGAGTGCTGTACCGGGACGTGATGCTGGAGACGTACGCGTGTGTGGCCTCGCTGGGTGAGGGCTTTGCTGCCTTTTGTCCTTGTTAGGGCTCCTTTGGCTGTGTAGAATGACACTGCAAGCAGGGCTTAGAATAATTGCAATGTAGTTACTTGTGGAGTAACTCAACAGCACCAGAAACAAAATGTAGGTAAGTTTCTCATATGTTTCAGAAGGGATTAGTGTGCTCAGCACTGTGAGAAAAGACACAGAAGCCACTGCTGGCAAGCAGCCATCAGCTGGGAGGGGTTGGATCAGCTCCTGCAGACTGCCCTTGTGTTGCTGCAGTGCATGGTGGTACCAGCTCCACCAACCTGACAACTCCCTGGTTATTCATTTACCTTTTTACTCTTTTCCACTGTGTTCCTGTAAACCTTTTTGTTGCCTTAGGTCTTTAGCAGTTTGTATTAAACTGGACAAAAAGCCCAAGGGTAATGTTAGAGAAATTCTCTCTGCATAATTTTTGAGATGTGAAATTCTTGCTGGGATCAGAAGAAAGCCAGTATGTGTGGGCCCAGTGTAATTCAGGCCCTTAATGCGGTTTCAGAAGTTGGGATGGACACATAGTATAGTTGTTGGACATGTTCCTACATCAGAATCACGAAAATGCTCTAATGTCCACTGTTTCTGTTATTCAATCGACATGTCCAGCCCCAAAACCTGCAGTGATCTCCATGCTGGAAGGAGGGGAAGACCCCTGGATCCCAGATGTACATGGCTTGAAGGACATGGCAGAAGACCTCAGCCCAGGTGAGCCAGTGAGAGAGAGGAGGAGGTTGGGGCTGGCAAAAGCCATTTCTGACTGGGCAGTATTTTAGCACAATATATTATTTCTGTATTTCCTGTCATCCAGCAGATGATGGGATCACAAACATAAAGGAGTATCTGCAGAGAAGTGGTGTGGCTGAAAGGCAGTGGAGTAGTGCCTCGTTGGGAAAAACCAGAAGGGATGTGCAAGGGGGCCTGGAGCAAGGAGAGCACTTCGAGAAGCAACAGGGAAACCCTCCAGGAGAGATTGTGAGGAAACCCCTGGACTGCAGCACAAGTCAGAAGCAGCAGATGGAAGATGCAAGGAGCAAGGAAGTGTGCCGGGAGGAAAGGCAGCACCCAAATGCTGAATGTGGGACCAGCTTTAAAAGGAATTCCGACCTTGTTAACCACCATTGTGTCCGCTCAGTGAAGAGATTGTGCAAGAGCTCTGGGTGTGTGAAGAGCTTCAAAACAAGATCCAAATTCACTAATCATCAGTTCCTCCACACAGGAGAGAAACCCCTTAGGCGTTCTGAGTGTCCAAAGAGCGTCAAAAGCAACTCTGAATTGAAGTGCCACCAGTGCATCCACACAGGATACAGACCTTACAAGTGCCATAGATGTGGGAAAAGCTACAAACAAAGTTCCCACCTTGTTTCCCACCAACGCATCCATTCAGGTGACAGAACCTACAAGTGTTCCACGTGTGGAAAGGGTTTCAAAAGCAGTTCAGAACAGAATCACCAGCACATCCACACAAGAGAGAGACCCTTTAAGTGTCCAGAGTGTCTAAAGGGCTTCAGAAGCAGTTCCTACCTCATTGGCCCCCAGCGCATCCACAAAGGAGAGAGGCGATATAAGTGCACTGACTGTGGGAAGGGCTTCAGAAGCAGTTTCGACCTCATTGTCCACCAGCGCATCCACAATGGAGAGAGACCCTTTAAGTGTACTGAGTGTCCAAAGAGCTTCAGAAGCAGCTCCTACCTCATTGGCCACCAGCGCGTCCACACAGGAGAGAGGCCATATAAGTGCACTGACTGCGGGAAGGGCTTTAGAAGCAGTTCCAACCTCACCCGCCACCAGCGCATCCACACAGGAGAGAGGCCATATAAGTGCACTGACTGTGGGAAGAGCTTTAAAAGCAGCTCCAACCTCACCCGCCACCTGCAGTGTGTCCACACAGAAGAGAGACCCTTTAATTGTCCTGAGTGTCCAAATTGCTCCTAAAGCAATTCTGAATTGAAGTGCCACCAGTGCATCCATACAGGATATAAAACATACAAGTGCTCTGTATGTGGGAACAGCTGCCATTGATGTTCCCAATTTGATTCCCACCAGAACATGCATTCAGGACACAGAGCCTGCAAGTGTCCCATTTGTGTCAAGGACAGGCATGTTAGAAGCGAAGATGCACCAGCACATCCATAAAGGAGAGAGACCCTACAAGTGCTCAGCGTGGGAAGAGCTTCCGCAGCAGTTACAAGCTCATTTGTTACCAGTGCATCCAAACAGGAGTAAGACCCTTTAAATGCCCTGTGTGTGGGAAGGGCTTTATAAGCAGTTCTAATCTCAACTCCCACAAGCACATCCACCAAGGAGACAGAGTGTAGAAATGCCCCGAGTTTGGGAGTATCTTCAGAAGCAGTTCCTGCCTCGTTACATACCTACACATCCTCACAGGAGGCTAAGTTTGCAGTGCCACGAACGCGGGAGGAGCTTCAGCCAGACCCCAGCCTGATCAGCCACCTGTAGCTTTGTGTGGTTATGAGCCTTACAAATCCCTTGAGCAGAGGAAGAGCTTCACAGCTAACTCATCTTAAAAACACCTTGAAGAACATACTCCTTGCTCGGACAGGTGGAACTGGTTTAATGAGGTACAGCCAGCAGGGAGCACTCACTGTAAACATAATGTGGTCACAGAATCGTAGAATGGCCTGGATTGAAAAGGACTGTAAGGATCATCTAATTTCAACCCCCCTGCTGTGTGCAGGGTTCCCAACCAGCAGACCAGGCTGCCCAGAGCCAATCCAGCTTGGCCTAAAATGTTACCTAAAAAGCTGTGATTGGACAAGGAGTGTCTAAAGATACCAAAAAAGAGATACCAAAAAGACCCTCTGGGTTGTATTCTGGTTCACAGGGGAGAGGTTGCTGGTGAGCCAAGGGGAAGTTAGGTAGCCGACTAGTAAGTGTTTCCTGTATCCCCTTTAGTCCCTCCATAACTGGGTTAATCTCTATTTTGTCATGAGCTTCCTATTTATTGATTTTGAGTGGTCTGGAAGATTAAAGCAACACATCCTACTAAGATCCTCACAACCGTGCCTCTTCAGTTAGTTAGTCCAGATCCCTTACCTCAATTCCTTTAACCTGTATGCTATTGGGAGAAAATAAAGATATTCTTGCTCGGACTGGCAAAATATCTTTGGAGGTATAAACAAGTTAAAGACCATAACTATCCATGCCAGACAGACCCTCTTGACATGGTCACGAGACATCTAGCTTGTACACCTGGCATGGGTGTCAGCAAATGCTATAAAGACCATTGACAAGCCCCGCCAACACTGAGGTGGCTTTGTGGAGGCGAGTGGCAAGGAGCCATGTGTGCGTGTATGACAAAGGAGCAGGCAGCGGATTGCCAGATGACAGAAGAACCCCTCAACTGTACATGGAACCCGCTTTACATTCCCCTGAGCGAGAGCAGACAGAGGAGACGACCTGCACAGAAGGAGGTGAGCGCCAACATCGAGCTGCATCTCGCACAGGAGTGGTTCCATGGCAAGCCGGGGGCAGGGCACGGTGGGCGGCACATCGCTGAGTGGCTGATGGCAGAGTACTGTGCTAAGATAGAGGCCCCTGACAGCTTCTTCCTGGTCAGGGAAAGTGAGACTTATGTTGGGGACTACATTCTATCCTTCTGGCAGTGTGGGAAGGTGCCGCATACACTGGTGACAGGACGCTACCAGTCAGAAGTTCTTTGTGACTGACACCCAAGTATCTGACAGCCTGTACGACTTCATCACCTACTATTGGGAGACGCCACTGAGGTCCCACGGACCTGAGATAAGGCTGACAGAACCGGTGCCTTGGTCCAGCACTCACACCAACACACGGTGCCGCGGGACGGCACCAGAAGGACAAGTCCAGATCCAGCACCATCTACGTCAGGGCCAGAGGGAAGAACTGCTCAGCATGGCAAGAGTTACATTTAATAAGGCACTTAACCAAGTGCACGTTGTTCAAGTTCATTGCCCACAATAAAAGTTTTTGTTCTGCACTAACAACTGAGCCCGTGTCTAATTGCCACAGTTAAACCTTCCTCTTATTTCTCTTCCTCAACCTCTATGAGGACCTTTGGGCAGGATTTCAAAAGGGCATGGAGGGGCTTTACCAGTATTCCATAGCTGTAGGTGGCACCACTTCGTCATCCCAAGGAAAGTCTGGAGCTCTTTCCAGAGTCCCCTTGCCGTTTCCTAGGGCTCAGGAATCCCGAAGTGATTCTGTAACGCAAATGGGTTACTTGTGGCTTTGCCACTTGGGCTTTCTGTGGAGAAAGTTTAGTAAGCTAATTGTCCATGTTACTCATTACCTCTTCTGTTTTGGTAGCTTTCAGGTCATCCATGTCTTCAAATTTGGGGGGTACTGTTTAATCCAAACCAGCTGAGCTACTCCTAAGACCGGGATAAGGGCTCTCAAGGTATCCCGTATTATACCTTACCAATGGGTTATTTACTCTTTTAACCCTTCTTGGATTTTGATACTGGCTCCAAATAGTTCTCACTATGCCTGGTGGGAGTATAAACTCTCCCATCTCCGCCCAGCCACCAGAAACTTTTACCCAAGTCACAACAACTCACCATATTACTTCCACTATGATGTTCATGCCCGCTAATGAGGGTGTTATTACTTTCTTAATAGAGGCCGTTGTTAAGTATAGAGATGTAAGGTTGATCTAAAGAAAAGGGAGAAGAGTGACAATCACACATTTAACAATAACAAATAAATATAACACAAAACACAGTACTATTATAACCAAAATACAAAATGTAACAGCACGCAACAGCAACTTGCCAGAGATATCACCCTGAAATAAAGCAAATTAGTAACCAATTCATCTTTTCTTTATGAGTTTAACTTTTTGACGATGCACTTTCCTTGACAGACCAAGTAGTTCCTCAGCATCCTGGAATAACCCAACAATACTGAAATTACTCCAAGTGCCTTATTAGTTCTACAAGGGAATGCCTCTGGCTTCTGTAGAAAAAGTATCAGTTAGTACCAACATACAAGGATACCCCCCTTTTCTTGGGAGTTCCGAGAAATCAATTTGCCATTGTTGCCCTCCCTTCTAAATCATTGATTAGATTCCTATCCTCTCTAGAATGTATTACAGGTTCTGGCTCAGGTTTAAAGATTTTAAGTTTACCGTCTGGAATTAAAAGCCCTCTTCAACTACCTGTCCTGCCACCTGACCCATCATTTGATTTCCAGTTTCCTGTACAGTGTTCCCTTTCTGCTGCCCTTTACAAGGTGTAACAGCCACGCTCCTTGGTAGGTTCACATTGTGCTGTTTTCCTTGTGTGTGCAATCCTTGCTCTTTTCAGGTGGTACTACGAGTGTGCAGCATCCCAAATACATAATTAGCATCTGTCCATAAAATAAAGGCTCCTGCCCAGGCAGTTATTTCAGCCCTTTGAGGGAAAGTCCTCTCAAGTAATGGTCGTGCTTCAATTACCTTGTCAGTAGCAGCTACTGCATATTCCTGCCTTACAGTTTCCTTGTCTGACAAAACTGCTACCGTCGGTAAACCACGTGTCTTTTGCATCTTCTAAGGGCTTGTCCTTCAGGTCCGACTGGCTGGAAGATGCAGCTTCAGTTGTTCCAAAGCTGTTACGAAATACTGTTGTCCAGGAGTTCCGCTAAGGAAGATACTGGGTTGCAATTATTTCTACATCATCCTGCGCTACAAGGACGGCCTTTGGAGTGAGAGCCAATGCCTCCCTTTTTACCTCCAATACAGCAGACACTGTATGAGATATCAGAACTGCTATTGTTTGGCCTAGCAACACTCGAGTACTAGTGCAGCCACTGCCCTCAAGCATCCCGGCCACCCCCTACTCACTTCATCCAGCTGTTTGGAGAAGTGTGCCACTGCCCAAGGTTCTGGGCAAGGACTCCCAAGGCCATTCCTTGTTTTATTATGCGAGCTCTTTGTTTCTGTGACGTCCACGTACCGTGGGGTCTCGATCCATTTATTAGCCAAGCCATAGCTATTCAGCAGTATTACTCAAAACTCATTGACATATTCATTACTTTTCCGGAAATTCATTTACATACTGTCCCCCCTCCCCAGGGCATGCGCAGTAGCTTCCATTGGATGAAGGCTCGATGTCTTCCTCCCCATTCGGTGGTCGTTTGGGATGAAGTCAGTTGTCTCCCTCGCCACGTCCTTCCAGTGTCCCAGTCCTGGGCTCTTCTCTTGCCCTGCATGCCTCAGCAATTTCCTATTCTGC